TGCTGCTCAATGCTTGCTTGCATCCAAGTGCCAGAAAAACTGAATTGAATCATTTTCTATTCTAATCAAGTTTCACCTTCAAATTAAACTAGAAAGAGAAAGAGAACTGAAACAGACGACTCACCTTGACTGTAAGCTTGTTAGAAGCTGGCTCATACTTTGAGTTGAACTTTTCGGGCTGCATAATGACAATTTGACCAGCAGACGCTTTCAACAGTTTGGCCACTTCGGAGCTGAAGGAGTGACGGAAAGTGAAGTCCTCCCTCAGAGCGTTACCTGCCAGACAGGAAACAGACAGTATAATAAGAAATATTGGAGCCAATAAATGTAGCGGATTCCTTGAGTAGCATTTTCTGCAGCAACAGTCTAAAAATTAGGCATCAAAGTTAAAAAAAACAAACGCTTACAGGCTTCAATGTAGATCTCATAGGCTGCATCCTGTTCGCTGGAGAAGATGCCAACAATGACTGCGTCGTCACCATCTTTGATGAGCTCCTGCACTTGCTTTGCTGCCTGTATCTGCTTAGAAGGTGGTCCTGCCTGCTCACTCATGAAGTCGACAATGCCTGAAGGTAAGAAATAAAGGATTGTCTTGTTACAAGAACAGCGAAAACGCACAGCGTCCTGTTAATTCAGTGTAGTGACGGTTTGGTCGGTGAAACCCGTACCGTACTTCTCCCTGGGTCCGTTGTACTCAAACACTTTGCCCTTCCTGAAGATCTTCAGGGTTGGGTAACCGCTGACCCCAAAGCGCGAGGCGAGCTCCGTCTCCACGGTGGCGTCAACCTTGGCCAGAGGGATTGGAGGGGAACGCTGACTCAGCTCCTTTGCAGCCTTCTCGTACTCCGGAGCCAGACGCTTGCAGTGCCCACACCTGCGGAAGACAAACCGGTTTGTTTTATTAAATCACTGAACCAAGAAAGGAGAGTCTAAATTGTAAACCCTACTCTGGACTTCAAGGAGCGACTCACCATGGAGCGTAGAACTCCACCAGGATGATATCTGCGTTGTCGACCGTTTCGTCAAAGTTGTCTTTGGTCAGGACCAGCGTGGCCTCAGGAGGCGGCTTCCAGCCCGGCTGAGACACCTCGATCACCCGCGCCACGATGGCTACAGACACACAGTCAACCCAATTATCGATGCTCTATTAGAAAACGTGCAAGCAGCTGCTCCTGAACTCCCACCCTTCTCTGTCCTGTCTCCGTCGTAGTCGACGGGCTCTCCGTTCTTCAGGATCTTGATGGTGGGATATCCCGACACGTCGAAGCGGCTCGCCACCGCGTCGGCTTTCGTGGCGTCCACTTTGACGACAGGAATCGGAGGGTCGTTCTCCTTCAGAGTCTGAGCGATTTTCTCATACTCTGGGGCGAACTGCTTACAGTGGCCACACCTGACAATGTAAGCAAGACAGTTCCTCATCAGGAAAACTGACCGTTTTTTGTTGCAATTTCTTTCAATACCTCTTACAGTTTCATGATAAAAGGTTACAGTATCAACAAAAGCTAGAGAAAAATTATAAACTTCTTTTCTTTTCACCTCCCAACAGGTCAACCATAGATAGAGCAAGCATGCAATAGTTGGATCAGATCATATTTATGTGTCAGAATGGCCTAGTTAAAGTCCAGATCATTGGGCAACAATTTCCCCATTAGTGTGCAAAACTGGAAGAGAGACCCTAAAGTAAGCAAGCGTACCATGGCGCATAAAACTCGACCAGAACCGTGTCTTTTCCCTCGATAAAGGTGTCAAAGTTGCTGTTGGTGAGAACCACGACTCCGTTCTCTTCTTTCACCTCCGCGTCATCCTCGCCGTTGTCATCTTCCTCTTCCTCATCATCACTGTCCTCATCAGCTGCCTCAGCATTGTTCTCTTCTGCATCTTAGTAGAAATGTCCCAAGATTTAGAAATCAAAGCAGATTACAAAAAAAAAAAGAAATATTTAGACATACTGGTAGTTTTGAAAACAGGAAAAACAAAACAACAACAACAAGAAAACACTGAAAACATGCAATTGCACACGTTTCCCACAGTGTGAATTCAGATTTTAGAGTTTTGCAGCCCTGTCCAGCCAATGCTAACTACTAGGCTAATTATGTTCAGCTACTTAGCTAGCTAGGCTAAGCGACAATAACTGACCGGAAACAAGTGTTAGCTGCGCTAATGACTCGCGCGTTTGGTCATTCCGGTTGAAACACGCCAGACTCACCTTCCTCACACCTGCAGACAGTCGCAAAGTGTGCAACGCCGAGGAGCACAACCAGCAGCAGAGCAGCTTTCCTCATTGTCCCTGCGGTTCACCCGGTCGCTGCGGCCCTTTAATTAACTGAGCTAATGCCGCCGATGATGAATGTCATCAAAAGTGTGCCTGTCACACAGACCCGCTGCCCGGATCAATACTGATTGGCTTAACGCTGTGCAAACCTTCGGTTTGTAGTTTTACACAAACTCACATATGAACGCACCACCGCCGCCTCCTCCTCCCTCTGTGATTTGTCTGACTTGCCACGCTCTGATTGGCTCCGGCCCACCTGGTATCCTCCAATCACGAGTCGCCACTGAATTTCTTACTTTGAAACGTTGAAGGTTGCGATTGGACACTCGCGTTGATCTTTTTCTTCGTTCTTGAGTTCGAGGTAATTGGGCAAAAGCTTCAAACCACCGCAATATTTTTTTTAATTCTTGGCATACGAGGAGCTGAATAGTCAACAAGTTGTCATTATTGCTTAACTTATGGCTAAAACATCTAAAAAATGATGCATGAAACAATGTTATAACTGAACAGTGACATAGTCTTGATTTAAAGGATCTCAGTGTTTCAGCATTTTTGTTGTTGTTTTTGTTATTGTTTTCCTTTTAGTTTTCTAGGCATTTGCTCTTAGAGGAGCATGAAAACGGTTTAGTTTTTTCCATGCTGGTCATCCACAACGCTGTTCCAATAGAGAAACTTCTAACAGGTGTTTTCACTGTGTTTGTTCCCTTGATTTACAACATGGAGGATTACAGTGGAGCAGACATTGAACCACAATTAAATTTTGTTTGAACAAAACCTCATTTTGTATGAGGTTTTCTTTTCAAGCCTGTTGCACAGTTCCTTAAATCTGGATCCATGATCTCTGTACAGTCTTAGTGAAGACCAAATGTAAAAAGAAAATAATAATTAGAATAATAATAATTAACCTAATGACTCATTTCATGCTTGTTATTTTATGTTTTTCAATATAAATTATCCATATATTTACCTTTTCTGACACTGTTGTCTCTTAAACTTATGGACTTGGCTCGTCTTTGGGAAGCAGCTCCCTCTACTGGTGAATTAAGTGTAAATCATGATAATATTCTCAGATAATTTTCTTTTCATTTGAGGTTGGATCATTTGTATGATCGCCTTATAATATGACATTTATAAATATTAACCTCAGGATTCAGTCCAACTTCAAATCAGCAAAAAATAAAACAAAAACAATAGAATGAATATTTTAATTTATTTTACCCTTAATTCTGTTATTCAGAAAGATAGGCAACATTTCTTGGCTATCATATCTCACTATTCAACTACCTGAAATATGTGGCAGATATATTTCATTTTATTTTACCTAACTTTTATTTAGTCAGACTAATGGCACTCCTGGATGCTAGAATAAGCATAAATGAAAATTTGGTCCCAAAACTTGGCAGTGAGCCCTGGTGAATCACAATAGTCTAAACTTAATATGCATCTCTTTTCTGCAAAAGGATCTTTGTTCTAACTACAGAACTTGAGGAGTATCTGACCTGCAACTGAAAAAAAGAAACTCTTGTAGGATTAAAGTCACGTCAAAACCCATATCTTGGGGGTGTTTTGATCCAAATATTGGATCAGTGTATCAGTGAGCAGCAAAAAGAAGGTGACAGAGCTGAAGCTTTGCAATGCGGATCAAAGAGAAAAACATGAATATTTTGACAAAATAAAATATTGTCATTTTAAGCAGTGGCCGGGGTGGCACTTGCCACCCCCAACAGAGCCCTTGCCACCCCTACTGTCACCCCACTGGAAATGGTAATTTTAAAATATAATACTTATGAGATCGGCAAAGACTTGCCAGGAAAACTGTAATTTCCGACTGTCCCTGAAGGCAGCCCGATGCCGACGCTGATCATTGGTTAAAGTGACATGTGGTCCTGCTTGATCCAAAACAAATCCGCGGCTTTAGAGTACACCATAACTTCCTAATGAGAGGCGGCACTTGTCATACATTTCTAAAAAGAAAAAAAAAAGGTTGTGCACCGCTGCATAGTGCCTCGTTTATTATATTAGCCATGCTAGTGCTGATAGATCGTGTTTTAGACAGATTCTTTTAACATATGTTTTAGTGCACATGCTGCCCTGTAATTTTATATCTCCCAGCTCTTGCTTGAAATGTGTGGTAAGAATATGTGAAAAACCATTAAGTTTTATAATGACTGAAATGTAAGTAGGCTATGTCATATGAAAGCTTTGAATTATAACCTAACTAGTTATTTTAATTAATTTTGATCGAAAGGAAACAAATATTTTTTTTTCCTTTCGTTCCATGGAACGATCCATTTGTATATGGACCCCTCTGATAAAGCCTTGCTCACCCTTTGGCCACCCCTTGAAAAAAAGTCTAGCTCCGCCACTGATTTTAAGGTGTTTTAAACATCAAACATATCACAAACAGAAAACACAGAGTGATTGCTTTATTGATTTAAACCTTCTATCTTTGTCTTTATGCAGATCACACAAATTGTGCAGTTAGACATTACATTAAATGAGTTGTTCCTTCACTGCATTTCAGTGAAGGAACAACTGAAATGCAGTGAAGGAACAACTCATTGTTTATTTTTCTTGTTGCCTATAGAAGTTGCAATAGTTTCTTCCTTACATTTTTCTCTCACCTACTTTGGAGGAACTATCAAAACAAAATCACTAAGGGACTTATCAGAAACATCTGCTCATTTCTCAGGCTTCTGTTTGCTGACCTGCTTTCTGCTGGTATAAAACACAGAGGAGAGCAAGTCCTTCAATATTGCAACATAAACCATCCACACAGCAGACGTTTCAGGATGAGAAAATCTGTCGTTTTTCACATTTTGCTCCTCTGTCTGTGTTGGACTTGGGCTCACAGCGAGGTGGATAGTGACGCCATTCAAACTCTAGATCAAGGTCTCCAGGCTGAGATTCAAGATGTCAAAATAAATCAGGCAGAGAGAACCAAACAGACCAATGGAACTGTGGACCTCTGGGCCGAGCTGAAGGAGCTCAGAGACATGACCATCGAACTGAAGACTGACCTGAAGCATTACCTGAGCAGGACAGAGAAGCTGGAACAAGAAAAATTAGGTAATGCATTGACTGAAAGACACTAATGCAATAATGTTGCATGTTACAAAAGTAGATATTTTGTCTAACAGCAATGAAAGTGACTGATATGTGAAAGATTCAGACAGATGTAGGATGAGGAAAAGGTGATGTATAACTTCTTTTTGAATCAGAAATTTTATGTACACATTTTTGCAGACCTTGAAATCAGAATAAGCTCCACCGAGAAGGAGATGGAGGAAATCAAGAGCGAGAATGCAGGTAAAGGAAGACAAATAAACAAATGTTGAATCTAGGTCATAATGTGGACAATCGTGGACACTGAGCAAACAGAGCTGTTGTAAAGAGGTGGAACTGACAGTTTCTACCTCTACATAGAATAACCTACAACTTCTTTCTTTGCCTTAAGCTAAGTGACTCCAATGACTTTCCAATGTCTTATCTATTCCCACAGATCGAGCAAAGGTGGCTTTCTCACTTGGCCTCACAAATGCAGGACGCCTTGGACCCTTTAATACTGACATCACACTGAGGTTTAGTAAAATATTCAAAAACTATGGCCAAGCCTACAACCCCGACACAGGTAATAACCTAACTCACTTAAAGTGGCAGTTTTAGCATAACCACTGTACTAATTTACACAAACAGAATTAATACGAGCACAAACAGAGTTCTGAAAAGCTTTCATGTTTGTTTTTCTTTTTTGCAGGCATCTTCACTGCCCCAGTGAGAGGAGCATATTATTTCAGATTCACCTTCTTTGAGATCAACAATGCTCACTGGATGGGTATTCATTTGTATCATAACAGCAAGATAATTATGACTAATTATGACAGAAGTAACACCTACTATGAAAACATGTCTAATGGAGTGATACTTGAGCTGGAACGTGGGGATGTGGTTTACATAGTCCTTCAGGCACCCTACACTGTATATGATGAGAAAAGAAATTACAGCACCTTCACTGGATTTCTTCTTTTCCAGTTGTAAAGGTAAACATCTTTTCTCTGCAACAAGTTTATACATATATTACAGAACCTTAACAACAAATATGTTGGAAAACACATGTAAATTAAATTAATTGAACTAACTCAGGATTACAACTGAATTTTACCCCACTTTCCTCAGTCAAAATTCTGACTTGAATTCAAAGATTGATTTTATAGTTTAGCACATCTGACTTTTTTTTTTTTATTAAGAAACTCATTTAAATAAATGTAAGTGTTCAACTTTCTCATTCAGCAAGTTATATTTTCGGGTAATTGACTGTTGGTTATAAATTACAGAATAAATGTACGTTTATACTTAAAACTTATCTTGCCTAATTAAATGAACATATCTATATTTGTATATCTGTGTCCGAGTGTTTTGTTGGTTAAATTTCCTCTGTTGCTAAATATGTATTTGAATGTTTGGCATAAAATCTTGAGAACAGAAAATAAGTTAGTCAATCCAGAAGCGATGCCACTAGCTCATTAGTGGCACCCAACTAGTAAGTCTTTTTGGAAAAACTAATAAATAAAAAACGTAACTATGTATTCAGGCTGGCCAAGGAAAATGAATAAATAATTTTACATACCTATGTCTGGGTTAAGAAAACAGCATAGAAAGTCAAATCTCCTGTGATCTTCCAATAAGATCTGACTGTTATTTATCCAAATAATAGCTTAGAATATAAGCCATCTACATTCAGATTGAAATAATATCTTTACTTTTCAAATACAGAATCAAATAAAAATTTTACTATTATGTGAACTTAAAAAGATGTCAGGGAAGCAAATTTCTTTTTTATTCTGATATCAGAATAAACTACAGCATGTTTTACAGACTACATATAGTCAGTTTACCTTCAGTCCATGGGTTTTTGTTATATTTCTTTTAATCGCAACTGTCTCTGTTGGCTTAATCATGCTTGCTTTGGCATTTATTTACTAAAATCTGCAACATGAATTCTGTGAAAACATTAAACAAACAGTGGTGGCAAAACAACTGATGGCAACTGCTGGAGAAGTTTCTCTCCCAGAGTCGCTTACACAACAATAATGGATTATAGTTCTCCTGGTTCAGGCTCCTTATGGACCAGAACCTCCACCAACTTATACTGAGTTGCAGTAAACCAGCAGCTGTGATTTGTTCCAGCCTGCAGCTCAGACCGTTTCTCACAAATATCTTCTGACTGAAGCCTTTCGGAGGAGGTCGACTCTGGGGATGCCATCCAGTTTTTAATTTTTAATGACTCATTTGAAATACTTTGGATACTTTGTTCTTCAACCTCGGTCCTGATGGTAATAGAAATGAAGATTTATTTGAGTGCACTATGATATTTGGTTTAGGATAATGCTGCAAGTCACATGTTACCTGAACAGGCGAGCTGCAGGGCTTGTTTTTTCCTGTGAGTCTTGGGTTGTTTCATTCCTCGTTTTCTGTGTTTTCACCACAGTCTGTGACCTCAGACATTCCTGATAGAACCATAAACATTTTAGAACTGGCATTTGAAAACAATGTATTGTACATCACGTTTTAATAAATCATATGACTTTACTGGTGTCTTCAGTCGTTCTTCCTCAACACTTGTCTTCAGATCATTGATGTTCCCTAACACTCATTTCTGCACAGCTCACTCACAGTAGCAGTTGAAAGGAGCCGATTTCTGCATTTTGACCAGGCTGTAATAAAACCTTACTTATTTCCTGTTTCAGCCCTTCGATTTCAGACCCCAGAATAAATTTGACTCCAGAATAATTTACCTTACAAAGGATTTAACTGATTGCAATGCTTCCATGCAGTCAATGAAGTCACCAGGCCAGAGATTTGACATAAAGCTTTTGGTTCTGATGGTTCTTGAAGTCAACTATTGTGTTGTATGCTTTATTGCCAAACATTCATACAAAAGAAACTTTCTCAGAGTGACTCTTCAGAAAAATTGAGTCTTATTCATTGGATTTCTAACTTTGAACTGGAACATCTACCATGCTGACCAAGGCCAGTAGGAAGAGTTCAGACCTCGGTGTGAGTTTGCTGAGAGCACAACTACTTAGTTTCCTCATGAATCCATATTCGTCCATGAAGCCATATAAATTCTATTTTCCATAACAGAACTATATAGTTATGTCCTTATGTTGGACATGATGGCTGCTCACCTGCGTGTCCATGTTGGAGGACTGCGGGGAGGCTGGGAGGACAGTGCGGTCCCCGTCTCTGCAGCGGTGGGTTTGGTCCGTGCTGTTGGAAAGGACGTCGAGTCTGAACATCAGTTCATCTATGGAGCTCTCCAACTCCTCAAGACCACATGTCTGGAAAAATGAACGCTCTTTTACTGAATGTAGACAAGTTTAGATGAATGACTGTATCTTTTTTTCTAGAACTGTAAAATGTTTCTCTTGATCTAGCAAATTAAACAAATATCGAATGTGTACAATCTGCATCCTGCTAATGAATAAAGATTCTGGTCCCATAAAACTTTTAGCAAGTAAATGAATGAAAACAAATTCAGATCATGTGGAGTCATCACGTTATTTTTAAAATTCATTTCAGCTTTACATGTATTTTAATACTATAATATCAAATTTTTAATTTAGATTCATATTTTTTCATTACCCTTTTTTTATCATAGTCATCCATCCTTGTTGGTTTTTGCTGTCCTATGAGTTCAGACACCTTCATTCTTAAGTAGCTTAATAGTTCCCCTGTGGTAAAAGTAATGTTCCTGCTCTGAGGTCTTCTAGCCATTTTCACCAATAAGGAGATCACCCCAATTACCTGTAAGAAAGACATGTGGCTGTCAGGGTACAAAAGTAATTTAAATATACAAAAATCCTCTTTTAAACTCCAGAAGTTCAATTGGAAATATGTACCATTGCTGTCCGCACAGCAGTATTTGTCAGAAGCAGAACGGCCCAGTGAGAGAAATCCTGTCCTGAGCGGAGGCGGTTCTTTTTGACCTGGAGCCCACGGTAACGACAGAGCAGAGTCTGCAGGGAGTGAGGAACCGAGCGGAAAGGCCAGCAGCTTCCTGCATGCAGCAAGTTACCCGAACAGGACAGCGCCAGCAGCAGGATCAGGCCTGAAACCTTCCAGGTGAAAGAGCAAAGCCTTGTAAGAAACCTTGTAAAGCAAAAGTTCTGCAACATCTTGGGAACTTTTACCAGCATTGTTACTGAATAACAATTTTTTTTTTACCCCAGGCCAAAAGAGGCTGGAGAGTGTCTGTGAAAGAACTGCAGCTGAAGAACTTAATGTTCTGTTCGTTCCAAGCAGAGTCACACACTTTATGGTCAGGAGGAAGAGGACAACCCCCCACAGCGTCCGAACATTCTGCACAGACAAAACACAAATCGTAATGGTACAATAATCTACCCGCCATCCTTTGTTTCAGTCTCTCACCTGTTCCCAGCTAGCCGCAGCGCTAACGTCAATACGCCCCCTGTGTTGGCTCTGCAGCAAACTCACAACTTCCATGATCATGGTGGAGTGATAGATCGAACAGAAATAACAGATTAGAGTCACTGGCAGCAGACTGACCTGTAGAGGAGAGACAGAGCAGAAAAGTGAAGCATTTTTGAATCATAATGAGGCATGTGCGTGACTTTATTCAAGTATTTCGGGTCAGTTAACCTTTCAGAAAACCTGCTGTGGTCCTTTATGTATTAATGTGTTGGATAATTTTAGTATGTCTCCCTGTTTACCCAATCTTTGTGGATGTGACGGAAGGTTTGGTTCACTTACATCCAGCCACATCCAAGGTCTTCTCCTGCATCCCATCAGTCCTTGCTGTGCAACAATGGACACCTGATTGTAGGATTGCAGTAGAATCAAGAACAGGAAGAGGAGCTGGTGAGGAAGAGAAGACGTCACTTCAGTCTGTTCAGATCCAGATTCTTCAAGTTTGTCTCTGCCAGGTTAGAGGGAATAGTTTACCTTGAAAACCGTGGTGACATAGTCCCATGGGGTAGGAGTGTGTAACACCCTCACTGACTGGACTTTGACGGAGTGCAGCAGTACGCCATCAGGGCTCTGCTCAGAGATCAGACTCACACTGCTAAACAAGTGAGGAGCAGGGCTGTACAAGGTGAACTGAACCTTCAGGGCCACCGTCCATCGGCTCATCCAGCTGCTTGACTTCAAAATCTTGAGTTTCGATGCAGCTTCAGACCTGCAGAAAAACAGTAAGTGAAACAAAGCAATACACATAACGTCACAGACTCAGCATCAGCAGTTACTGGCATGAGTAAACAATGTTTGCGTCTGCGTGGGTCTCACTTTGTGTGGCCTAAACTGACTGTAGGAGCTTTCTCTTGATACGGGTGATCACATGTCAGTGGATTTGTCAGCACAGGATCCTGGGATAAATTGAAAATAACGTTGAGTTTGGTGAACAGATAGTAGACATGTGAATGAAATTACATTTAAAACGCCACACTAAACAAAAGATGGATAAGAACCAGGCTTTAGTTCCAAAAAACTGTACCAAATATTTTACTGCAAAGCTTATCAAAGTATTATGATAGTTGTTCCTTCAGAGTCTTGATCGATTCTGAATTGACCAAACACATCAGTGGTCCGGAAATGTTTCAGCTTCTTTTCTTTTACAGAGGAAAAAAGCCAACAAGTAAAGCAAAAGAGTCTAAAGAAACTGCGATACTATTTATTGGCCATTTGTGAAGACTCTTTTCTTATATCTCTAGAGAGTATTTCATTTAAGAACATATTTCAAGAAAATCTTGTTAGACATATATGATGTTTTTTTTAAATAAATCACAGAATGATTAATAAATAATAAATCAATAAGCCTCATGATTACTAATTCATGAGGCTTTCCAAATAACCTTTTTGTATCGTAGCATGTTTTAGATCTGCAGGAAAATTTCATATTGTGAATGTTTCTAATTTACCTGAAATATGCTGGAGCCATCTGTCTTCTGCATGATGGGCTCCCCGATGACTACATGCGGCTGCTGAAAAATTATTCAATGCAACACTTTGTTAAACATAATCATCAACTATTCTTCTCACTATTAGTTTTTATTTTAATGTAAAATACGAAAAGTAAAAAAAAAAAAACAATAAAAACTTTACATATATTTTATGAATGAAATGGACATTTTTATCAGATGTTTTGTTGTTTTTGAGGAACTTTTGACTCGGGTCACCTCGGGTTTTGCTGATGAATTCTGGTACAGGTAGTCGAGCAGACTGGACTGTGTCCACTTCCACCAGTCCTCGTATGTTTTTATGGAGCTCAACGTGAAACTGTGTCTGTCCAAAAATAATATACATGTTTTTATTTCTTGTTTGTGAGTTACATCCAGATTGCATCAATGCAATGTTTGGGTATTACCTCATAAAGTGTCTCTTTATGGACTTGTTGAGATTTTGATGTTCTTTCACTGAGCTGCCAGAGATTATACACACCGTCAGGAGAAGCATAATGGTGCAGGAAGAGAAATTCCTACGTGACAAAAAAAAAAGGGGGTAAATTCCCGTTTCAAACCTTTTCAAATGTACTTAAAAACACAAAGACAAACCTGAGTGTTTCCTGAATTAGAGCCTCTCTCCTCCTCTTTCCACAAGTTTTCTTCAGCTCTGCTGGAGCCGGCGGGCGAGCGAGACGCAGGTGGTGAGCCCTGAGCAGCTGCAGAAACATGGAAACTGAACATCAGAGCAGAAAACCACTCTGATCATACTTTCAGCCATGTTGCGTTCGAACGGAGGGATAACTTGACCACCAAAAAGAAAGTCTAAAAAGAAAATTCCCACATCTGAGGGTATCGTGTTAATCCACAAGCATCCAAATATTGTTGTATCACCTCATAAAACTTTCTAAATTACATGGAATTTCAAACGTAGCGTCTCGGTTTCACCTTTTCCATGGATGAGGACGTCTTCTCACGGAGACCAGACTTTATGAACCGCTCAGGTTCTTCAAGATCTTTCTTGCTGAAAAAACAATGGCAGTCTGCTGCTTTCTTGTGCCAAAAGCAGGCAGTCAATGTCATGCCAAATATCTGGAGAGAACAAATAATAGGATTACATTTTTGATTAATTGTAAGGAAGTGCTTCTGAGTTTGGTTAAAATATGTTTCTTTTTCAAAGAACTGTTCTTGTTATTACCACAACTGGTTGGATGAAGAACATACAGCCCAAAAGAGAAACACAAAGAGAGTGTATCCAAAGCACAACCTGGCTGCTGCTGAATCTGACAGAAGACAATCCACACATACATACATATTGTTCAAGTATTAATGATGTTTTCTTTGAAAGAAAAAAAAAACAGAAAGGTAAAGCTACAACCAGTGCTTCACCTCATTCCATTTTTAGCTGTGACCATCAAGCAGGAGAGAGACAGCAGTGCACAGAGCGCCCAGTTCAGAGAGTGACACCAGAACGATGGTGTCCTGAGTTTTTTTTGTTTGGGCTGCCCGGCATTTCTTCTTTCTGAGCAATTTTTTAACCGTTCCTCCCCAGGTATACATCTTTTAGCTCTTCCTCTAGAAGTCAGAGGCAGTTTTTGCAGCAGGTCGTCATTTCTTGTCTGGATTGCAGACTCTTCATCCGCGCCTTTATTTTCCCGAATGGAGGAAATCGAGTTGATGTCTGTATCCTACCACAAAGAAACATGACTTCAGAAAACGACCAATATTACTGTGAAAGAAAATTTATGATGCATTATTCAAAAGTCAACCTGGTATTTTTTCTTCAAGGCCTCCTGCTTCCACCTCCAGCGGCCATCCAAGGACAGATGATAATCCACCTCACTGTCATCTGCTGAAAAGGTTTCTGCAAGATGTTACAAACAGCAGGTGTTGTCACGCAAAAGGCAACGCAACAAAATAAAGCTCGATGGAACCAAAGAGTCAAATCAAATCTGACCCTGACAATCATCCTGTGGAGTTTTTTCGCAATTTGCACGTTGAATTTCTAATCCTGACCGTGTGTTCCCAGTCAGTCGAAACAGGAAAGATATGAGTGCTGCTACAGGCAACACGACCGCCACACTTTGAAGTCCGGTTGCGACAGAAACAGCCGACACATCGACGACGCCTACCTCAAATGGCAGCTGTACGTAGGGAGAACAAAAAAGAAATCATGTACCTTGTGGTTAAGGCAGCCTTCACTGCATTTCACTGAGATTTTAATTCATAGAGGAATATATTGTAGCAAATATCTGTAAAGTGGGCAAAAAACATACATGCTTTTCACATTAAACAGTGGTGTACGGTTGATTTGAGCCACCTTCACCTTGATACCCCTAAATAAAATGCATAGAAGCTGATCAAAACAGTCACTTAATTATTAAATGACACCCCTGGACATCTCCGTGATCTCCATGATAAAACATGGTTGTGGTCACCAAGGTTGCTTCCACCCACCTGATCGTCTATATGCGATATGATGACAGTGTTGGCACACGCATACCCCAACAGGAGAAGCAGGCAAACACTAAGTCTTTGAGTGTGTGTGTGTGAGCTGGGGCTGGGGCAGCTGTACACACAAAGCCACATGTGAAAATCAGCCAAGAAGTCAAAGAACGTGAGAAACAGCATCTGCATGAACACATATGGAAACAGAAAGTCAAACTGTGGCTCAAAGGAAACCAGGCTTCACGTCTGCATCCACTTGTCGCACCTTCACCGGATGCGATTCCCCAGAGCGGACGCGCAGCTTCCTCTCCACTTGACCGTCGCCCTCGTTCACAGACAGCCAGCGTTCACTGTCAAACAGCCACGAGCGCGCCGCCACTGGCCCTCTATGCACCTGGTGTACAAGCAGTTAATCAGTTCAGCGGACAGACTGGGAAGGCAAGCAGACATTAAGCCTCTGACGTCTACCTCTGACACCACCACTTGTTTGAGGTACCAGTCGGGGGAATCTCCAGAGTTGTCGTGCCAGACATGAACCCCCCACACCGGGCCCAGGCTGCCGGCCGCACTGTGGAGGCCAGAAGCAAAGCGACTTTTCTCAGCAGAGTCATTGAAATATTAAGAAGTGGGAAACATTGCTGTGCTGCTGAGAAAACAAAGAGGTGGAGAGGATTTCACCTCAGTATGAAGGTGTCTTTTGTGTTTCTTCTAAACAGAGTGCACCCTGGAACTTGAAGTTCTTTTGTTTGTGAGATGCCGTCTTCACCATGCAGCACCATGTAAACCTGTGAATGTTAGCAAACAGATTTCGGCTCTTACATTTGTATGTGACTTGATATTTATTGGATTTCATTTTATTTGCATTTCTTTTATAACAAAAAGAGAAATATTCTTGTTAAACTATATTTTCTTAACTTATTTAAGTCATATTTCATACTTTCTTGTTTTGTGGCTGCGTTTGTAATTTTTTTGTTGGTTTTACCAAAACGCAGGTCACGTTTGTAAATGAGATCCTGGATCCTGATGAGACAATTTGTATGCATAAAAGGCAAAGTAAAAAAAAATAAAGAGTTGTATTTTCCAGAGGTGTCTGTCAGATGCATATAGCCATTTCTTTTCTTATGTACATATTGGTTGTGTGTGTGAAAATCAGTCCTATAAATGCTTCCTCACTGATACTGTCGATAGTGATGCAGGATAATCCGAGGCATTTTTGGACAGTACAGAAAAAACTGAATCTAACACAGAAAGCCTGCAACCATCACAAAATAGTTATTTACAGATTAATGCAGAAAGATCACAGGTGGTCATGCAATCATGAAAAAAATGTTCATGATTGCAAAAGACTTACTTTTGCACTCATACGGGCCGCAGAGCAGAGACCAGTGTGAATGCAAACAGCGTAGAGGTACGGATCTGCTGGGTTGTTGTCAGGAAGAAAGTAGAGCCTTTGGTTCTCCTTGGACAAAACGTCGGCTCTCTCTGACCAGACCAGCCCCAGGATGTACAGGACCAGCAGAACCGCCAGAGTACTGAGCACAACTGGATCACTGGATGCACTGAGAAACACAGAAAGAACACGGTGCAGTGGAGTCCTATAGTAAGGTTTTATTTTATGTTTTTAAGATAAAACTTGAATATTTTTTTCCATTGTCTTTTCATAATACTGAAAATTAATCCCCTAAAGATTTATCACACTTTCTTTCTCATGTGAAAATGAGATTGAATTGACGGAAGAGGTCACCTGAGGAAGGGATCCAGATCTCCTGTGACCTGGTTGATCTGAATCTGCTGCTGAAACACAGTCAGTGGCCTCAGCTGGTAGCAACTGATGTGAACAAAAACAAGATGCAGATTGAAAGTCTTACCATGCCGTTTTTTTGTTTGTTTGGTTGTTTGTTTTTTTATAGACCATGTGGGTGTGTTTGAATTCTGGAAGTCTGTCTGCACACAGTCCATGCCTCACCTGCAGCTCACCGCAGAAGACGCATCCGATTGCTGTGTCCTGCAGCCGTGGTGCGTCCAGGACCCCTGCTGTCCATCCCAGGACAAACACAGACTGCTGACCACCGTCACACTGTAGCTTACCTGTTCGCTTTGCAGCTTGCTTCTACGTAATCTTGCAAACTCGGCATCCAGCAAAGCCATGTGGGCAATGCCTGCAGCTGGAAATTTCATGAGATTGTTTGCTTTTCATAGAGCAGAAAATTATAGTGAAGCCAAAGCAATTCCAATCACACCGAGTTGTCTAGAAGAGGCTAAAAGTGATCATCTTACCACCGAGATAGGAAGGGGGCAGAGTTATACGTATGGTGTTTTGCTCCCACTGGTGAATCCTTTTCAGGTGGTGCATGCTGAGAGTTGGCCTCTCCAACATCCTGAAACAACCAGCAATCATGATCCAGTTTCATATTATTGTTGACAATGAGAGGTTTTGTTATGTTTGTCGCATTTTATCCAGGTTGGGCGTGATAGTGGTGCAGAAAAGCACTTTGTATTGCCTTGTTGCTGGAAATGTGATATATAAATAAAATTTCATCCATCCATCCATCCATTATCCGGTCACCCTTCTCCCTAACGGGGTCAGGAGGTGCTGGTGCCTATCTCCAGCTGCGTTCCAGGCGAGAGGCGGGGTTCACCCTGGACAGGTCGCCAGTCTGTCGCAGGGCAACACAGAGACAACCAGGACAAACAACCATGCACACACACACTCACACCTAGGGAGAATTTGGGAGGGCCAATTAACCTGACAGTCATGTTTTTGGACTGTGGGAGGAAGCCGGAAAACCCGGAGAGAACCCACGCACGCACAGGGAGAACATGCAAACTCCGTGCAGAAAGACCCCGGGCCGGGAATCGAACCCAGGACCTTCTTGCTACAAGGGAACAGTGCTACCAACTGCGCCACTGTGCAGCCCATTAAATAAAATGTTATTTTCCTTAATTATGAAGTGGAAGTGAAAGAATAAATGATGTGTTTTCAATTTTAATCCTGGGAGAAAACATGACGCTGGAAAAGACTCAGTGAGAGTTGACCACTGAGCAGGAAAGTGGCCCAGTTAAAGTTCAGACCTAATCCAACTAAGAATCTGTAGCAAGACTTTACAAAATCTGGCTCTAATCAACTGACTGACTCAGTTTTTTGGGGGTTTTTTACACTGAAGACTGGCACAAGAATTTTAATGCTTGGATGTGAAAACCTGGTAGAAACACACCCCAAAAGGCCTCTAGATGTCATGCTTAAGAAATGCGGTGATAAATATTGACTGAGAGATGAATCCAAACGCATGCCATAGCTTTCAGATATTATTCTCTTTCACAATATTGGATTTTAACATTAGGAAATGTGATAAAAGCTGACAGAGTGCTGTTTGTGTGCTTGTTGTGTGCAATGAACAAGTCCACCTGAAGAGAAGCATGATGGGAAAAGGCTTGCTGGGCAGCGGTGTGAACGCCACAGTGATCTGGATGGCCTGCTGCAGGAGCTGCTGGCTGATGCTGAAGTTGTGGTAGCTGATCTGGTTACGAAGGAGAACATACCGACCGGTAGAGCTCTCCTGCAGCAGGAAATTTTGCATGAAAATTAAGCATGATGGCCGTTTGGTAGACAGAGATCTCGACGCCACTTTTGAGAGAGCGTAAAAAGAGACGGCATACATTTCTTTGTGGAAGTTGGATTTCAATGTTGACTGGCTGAGGGAGGGAGAGAATCTGGATTTTTCTCCTGTTGCACTTAAACAGACTGAAATCCACCACCGGTCCGGTCAGCTGGGAGAAGGAGGCGAGAGTAGAATATCCCCCCGTTTTAAGTTGTGCGTCTTGGGGGCAAAGGTTATGGTCAAGCTGAGTCAGCACTCTGAAGATGCAGGATTGCTGCTCCCCGAGTCGAGCCCTTCCGGCGTGAAGCCCAAACACGCTCCGGATCAGAGCAGCAGGCAGGCGGACGGTGGTGAAGCCGCTCCTAACGATCAGAGAGGTTCGGTTTTGGAATGAAGCGAGAAGGTCGACAAGGCCGGCGGCGACTCTGTGCTGCTTGGCCTCATGGGGCAAAACATCCCTCTGGAAATAAATTAGTCAGAATGAATCCCAGTTGAGAAGCTTGTTTGAAATAGTTCAAATTTGAAGTAACACTCTTGAACGCACCAGGATCAAGTCTGCTGCAATCTGCAGAATCTCCTCCACAAGCCGCCCCGGCCGGTTTGCTGTAACCGCTCCTCCGTGTTGGCGGTGAGGGCCAGTGGGCGAATTCTGTGCGCAGCTATCAGGTGCATTTTCAGACTCCTTTGTGTTTTGTGCTGTGGTTGATCCTGACTCTAAAACACGGGTTCTGTTCAAATAGACTGCTGCTTTAGAAGTGCAGCTACAACTTGTGACCACCTGGAGGCAGTATGACACAGAGTTGATCAGACTATGGAGTGTCTTCTGGTTGGCACTAAACTGAGGAAGTAGCTCTGACACAGACCGGACGAATGTTGCTACATGTCTGACGCTCATGAATGTCACCTGAAGGGAGGGGAAAAAATTGTCAGGAAACCTTTTTTATCATTCAGGATATTCCCATTTCAGCAGACCTTCATTTCTCACCTGATTAGTAACTTGCAGAAGCTCATTGAGAATAATGACGCTGTCAGCAACTGATTTCTAAAATTAAAGGCGTAATAGATATAACAGACTGCTGCAGAGTGAATCAAGCAGTGCGACGGCTATGTGTCCGTACCTCATCACTCCCCTTGAAATCACATAAAGTGTGAATGAGCACATTGCGAGTGTGTCTCTGTGCGTGTGTGTCAGCCTCAGCATCCTGGCCCAGTTTGTTCAGGACACTGGTCAGGAGGCTGACGTAGTTACGGATCTCAACAGGATTCCCGAGCCTTACTAACGTGGACAAGTTCCTCAGACTCTCTGAGCTGCAGGCAAAAAGAAACATGACATGTTAGACTCCACTGCAGTCCTGCTGATTAAAAAAAAAAAAGCTATTAAATGGTCTAATTGATGCCACTTGTTAAAACATTTGAACAAAAACCTTCTTACAACAATGCTTCCAAATAAAGTTCTTTTTCAGAAATGATCATTTTCTAAATATATATATAAATAGATATATCTATATATATATATATATATATATATATATATATATATATATATATATATATATATATATATATATATATATATATATATATATAAATAGATATATTTATATCTATATATATATATATGTGTGTCTCTTACAGCTTCAGAGCAGGATCACGATGAGTCGGCGAAGAGGACGAGTTGTTTCCGATGAAGCTTGGTCTGACCCGGACGGCGACAGGACACGGTTTGGTGGCTGATCCAGAGCTGCTGCTTCTGACTTCAGTGTAGATTTTTACTGAAGAAATACGGCAGTAAACGAGATTATCCAGTCCAATCAGCTTCAAGTTAATGAGGCTGATGAGTGTCAAACCTCATTAATCTGCGCCGAATGTTCACCTTCATGGTCATCTCTGGGGTCACCAGAGGGCAGGCTGAAGTAGTACAGGAAGTCTCTTCCCTGGTACATCGTCCTGGGGGTTCTTCCTCCTACACTGTAGCTGTACTTGTACTCTAAGTCCTTATATAAAAACAAAGACACTAACTTAAACTAAAACTTCAAAGTTGTGAAAAAAAGCCAAATGTAAATAATACTCTGCAATTCTGATGCAATAATTTGATGGGTTTCCCAATGAAAGTGTTGTTAAAAACTTAAAAGATAAAACATGCCAGGTCCATTCTTGTATTATTCAAGAGTGGAAGACCAAATTAAAATATATTTCACATAATGATGACAGAAAATCATTTGAAAATGGATCTATGAAGCATATGATAAATAAAGAGTTAAATACACAATAAGTTTGCCAGCACACGGTACAGACCTCCTGTCCTGAGGTGCAGAAGATGCTGAAGGGAGTGTGTAACTCCATCCCTTCGACTGGCTGAACCTGGCACCTCACACCTTCTGGGACCGGGTTTGTTTTTAGGAACAGCTGAGTCTGACCGATCCTATTATTTTGAGACTCTAGGGAAAAAAAATTATTAAAACAATCTCGATAATCTGTTTTTCTTTAACATACGGTTGTTTAAAACTTACTGGCAGTGACCTGCAACATGTAAATGCTTCTTGGCTTCAGGCTGAAGGGCCTGAAAATCAGCGAAGTGGAGGAAATTCCTGAAATAACCAAAGATGCAAAACTAAACATCGAGCAGGAAGGAGTGTTAAATGATATGACTTTATGAAGTTTCTGAACGCTCCACCTGTGTAAGTGTAGGACTCAAATAGGCCTGTTTCTACTGCTTCTCGGTGGAAGTCAAGCAAAGTTGGCTCCTGAATCGCTACAGAAGGTTTGGGATCCACCAGGTTACTTCCCTCATTCAGATCAGACTCCGAGTTATCAATTGGACTAAAGTGCTCAGTATCTGTACCTAGTAAAGTCAGAGATTCATTAGATAATAATCTTGCACAAAAATGCAAGACGGATGTTGTTGTAGGATTGTTTTGTTTTATACCATGAGATCTTCCTGATGACACCCCTGAATCTCCTTCTTCCACACTTGGATACAGAGCATCATAATCCTCAGAACCTGTTGCTGAACTGACTTTAAAAAAATATTTTCAATTGAATTTTGAAGGCTGTAAACAACATAATATAGCATAACACATAACACAACATAACATAGCATAACGTAATGTAACGTAACATAATAAAGCATCATTGGACAAAAAGTGCATGGATAAATAACATGGCAACAACTTTTTTCTTTCTGTGTCTGTGTGAAATTTGTATAATCATTACATGCACACTGGCTAGAAGAGACTTCTAAGCCAAAATTCATATCTTGTTCCATAATAATTCATATTTAATTCCATAATAATGGGGCTCTAACTTCCTAATATAATTCAGGAGGTTTGTTTTGAACAATTAAACTATGAGCAAAGCTAAACGAAAAACATTAACTTAGAAAGATTTTACTCTAATATTATTTACCTGGTTGATGTGTTGCATCATCGGCCTCCATTAAAGGAAAAGCATATCTCCAGTCGGCAGAGGACTCACTTTGGATTTCTCTAGAAATGCCACTGAGTCCGATGTGGCCTAAAGCCAGTCTACTGTCCTGCTCAAGGACAGACGTATAGGAAAACCCAGACCTGGACAAATCTAAAAGGGGAACAAACAGGGCAAGTAGATTTAGTGGAAGACAGAATGTAGTGGCGATTGTTTGTCAAACCAAACATCCAATAAAAGGTTCCATCAGCCACTTATGAGGCACTGGGGTCCAGATTCTTAACACAGGCAAAAGAATCCCAAGGTCCAAACTTGTTGATTTTCTTTGTTTTCCTTTTATGCAAGCAATTACAATTATCAAACTTTTCTTTGTTCTCTCGCACTGATCTCTCTGTGCTGATCTCTCTGTGCTGATCTCTCTGCGCTGATCTCTCTGTGCTGATCTCTCTGCGCTGATCTCTCTGTGCTGATCTCTCTGCGCTGATCTCTTGCGCTGGTAAAAACCATAGGCCCCAAACCCAAATGCCTGTTGGTCCTTTACCAGGCCCCTATATTTATAGAATGTGGACTGACCCACCTTACTTCCTGTCTGGCTTACAAATGATAAAAAATAGGAAAAAATAAGAAAACAAAACAAAAAAATTAAATCAATTATTAACCTGCAAATAAACTGTAAATAATGCAAAAAAATAGAAGTTTAAGAATAAACTAACAAAATTCAAATAGATAAAGAAATAAAGAATAAATAGCTCCAACACAGAATTTTGTTACAAACTGTTTCCGACTAACGCACCGGATTGATCTGGTTTGTCTCTGCTTTCCTTTGACATGTCAGGAGTCAGGGTGGATGTGGTGGGATCCTCCAGGATTGCTGAAGGGGAGCTGAGATCTACTGTGTAACAGAACGGGACTGGAAGAGAACCAGAACCAGGTCAGAATATTTTTACATTCATTAAAACCAGTGAAAAGCAACAATAAGCTGAGCAAATTGATCTCTGTTTACCTTCTGTGATGGGTTTGGATGAAGCGTTGACCAGGTAAAGACTCCATGTGTACTGAATGAGTTCACTGTGAATGTTGCAGTCCTCACAAAGTGCACGGATGGAAAAAGACCGATCCCAGTTCATACGATCTCCCTGGCAGTGACGGCAGAAAACGGAGACCTTCCTGGGTACAGCGTGTTCAAATCAATTTTATGGTTTAGCCCACTGCTGCTTTCAATGTATTCAGTCCTGTTCACCAGTTAGTCAGACACATCTCTGTGGATGTATCAGTTTTATTTCAAGGAAGGAGCAAATACCCAGTGAGGTGTGAAGCGACTGTGAGGAAAGCCTCTGATGAAGCCGAACGCTCTCCGCTGAAGACTGAAAGCGTGAAGTGGAACTGGTCAAACTTGGGCTTCAGCAAACTGGGAGGGAATTCCAGCACCGGGGATGAAGTGGGAATGTCCTGGTCAAAACAGGAGCTGGTGATGCTCGAAACTGGTTTGCATGTCCAACTGTACCTACGGAGAGAGAAAAATAATAAGAGGAAGCAACGATAAGCTTCCAATCGCGGTTAAACCAAATACAACAAATCTGCTTCCAACTGAAGGTAGTCAACGGAAATCAATAATCGGAAAACAGAAGTACACAAAGAAAAGTCCAATCAAACTTATTTTGCAATTCAGTCATTAATCTTCACTGTATTCAGAAGTTTCTGAGCCTTCCTTCAACTCTCAGAAAATAGGCCAAGCAGTTGCCAGTTGGAGCTGCTCCAGGTTTAAAACCTCCTAGAAATTCATGTATTGTAACACTGCCATGAAAATATTGATAAACTGTGTCTGAATGATATAAACCTTTGCCATTGAGTGTCTAATCTGGATGAAAGTTTGTACCTGAGAGGGTTCTTAGGGAAGTCTGGATCGTAGGATTTCTGTCCATCCAGGGTGACCACATTGCTGCTTGTTTTGCCAATAAAGACATTGGTGCCCCCCTGGATGAACGCCACCAGAGGGCTTGGTTTCACTTGGAAAGCCACAGTATAGTTGCTGTACACCACACTGCCAATAACTTGAACCTGGAGAGGACAGAAACATCACTTGAGTAGAAATCAAAGATGCTATAAATGTGGGATCAGGACTTAAATGCGGGTTAAAGCCTCTTACTAACTAAACAAAGAAAAGACAAAAAAAACAACTGGCGGATTTATTTGAGTTGGACTTTTTAAATGATTTTGGCTCTCTTCCCCATTAAATAACTTACTCTCGCTATGGCCATGTAGGTGTCATACTGCAGGAAATGGCTCTGAAGAAGCAGGCTTTGTCTTTGTGTGTCTGTGTGAGGCAAATGAATGATCCGGCCTCCAGAACCAAGTAAAGTCCAGGAGTAGCGAAGGCCCTCTGATATGTCACACTCCACATCTGACTCAAATGTCACACCCAGATGGATAACTTCATGTCTCTGAAACTTAGCACAAGAGTGAGGCTTAATTTCTGTGGCACTAATCTGTTAAATAATCTTCTTGTGTGATGAGGTTGAAGTGGAGTCTGTACCTGACGTTTCAGCGGACCCATGTTTTTGACAGGTGGAGGTCGACACGGCCGCTCCACAACAAAGACGTGGCTGCTCAAAGACGCAGAACTGATGAGATTGGACGCAGTCACTTTGACTGTAAACTCTCCCAGCCTGCTGACACACAACACAAACACTCACTGCGTCGTGGAAAAGAGAAACTCCGAACAAAAAAAAGCTCTAAAGTCAGTGAAACTCCCTGGCTTGCCTGTGGAAGACATGACGTGTTGTGCTCAGCCCCGGTCTGGTTGTTCCATCTCCGAAGCTCCAGATGAAGGTGAGGTTGGTCCCGACCTTGACTCTGCATGTTACTGTGAGAGTCCGATTCCTTAAGACCGAGGCCTGGTGATCCAGCCTGCTGAGCTTCACAACTCTCTGAGTCTCAATGGGAAACACATCAGAGGTGACCGACATTTGACCCCATCTTGTCTCCCAAGATGCAGCCGCTACCACATTGTAGCTATGAAGAGAGGTGGATAAAAATGATGTCTAAGCAAGAAATATTTTACAAAAAAACTTGTATCAGCGAAAGCATTTTTCTTTCTTTACGTTAAGATATGCTATGATGTGATTAAATGTGACATGAAAATGTAACATATTATGAAATGATGTGATATATAATGTGATCCATTCATCCATTTTCTGCATCAGCTTGTCCTTGTCCTGAGTTTGACTCCTGGATCGGGTACGATATGATACGATATGATACGATATGATACGATATGATGCGATATGATACGATACGATGTTGACTTTATTTTGGACAGATAACTGCTTTCAGAAAAATAAAATCTAATCTATGAATAGATAAACAAGCTTATAACTAGAAAGCATTTTTCTAATTTGCATATTTTACAGGTGATTTGTACCGTCCGGGGTTGTGGTATCTTTTTGTGATGGTCCTTAATCCGGTTCTGGCTACTTTGGAATCTCCGAAGTCCCAGAGGAATTTTACAGGATCAGGTATATCAGTGACAACCGTGAAGATTATGTCTTTATTTGTGGGATGCACCTGCCGTTCTGCATAAATCCTGACATCTGAGGGAAAAAAGTCAATAATTTTGTTCAGTGAAGAAATCTAACAGCCTAAAAGAAATCAATTCATGCAAAAATTCTTAAAAACTATACACAAATTGTAATCACTCTCACAAGAGAGTTGCGCTTCTTTAAGAGTGTTTCACTTCTTACCCTTTTCCTTCTCACTCTGAGCTGGTGTTTGCTCTGTAGTAATATCTTTAGCTTCTGACTTCCTTTTCCCCTTGACACACATTATCACACATTTGCTGTGAAAATAGACTTGACTCTCTACTCGCACCTGATTCGCAACGGGCCTGCTGCGGGTGAAAAGCAAAACCACTGCTGCCTCGGCCCCTGCGGTGCAGCTGCTGCCTCTGTACTTTACCTTTGCATTAACCAGCAGAGAGACAGGCGCAACTGACTTTCCTGAAATGCTACATGAAACCAGACACGTTTGGTTTGATGTGACCCGATGGGCGAGGTCAAACAGCAGCTTGTGGTTACAGTGCTTCTCTGTGCAGATACAGTCTCTGGGATTATCAGAACTGTGGTTGGATCCTGCTTCCACTGTGAGCTTCAAGAGTTCACTGTTGTCAGAAATATCATCTGCTGCCATCTTATTGTCAGACACATCCTGGCTGCGGTTGGAGATGAAAAGACATGCAACTACCTGCAGGACAAAAGGTACATAAAGAAGCTCAATGATTAAAGGAGGGTTCGTTGATGCTTGAAATGTAAAAATGAACCTTAGTTTTATGTAGAACTAAAGCCTTTATTCTGTATGTGCAATTACAACCTCAGTTATTTTAAATGGAAGACACGAGAAAATGGGAATTTACAGATCACTCTATAATGATGCATATTTGACTTAATATTCCACTTGAAGACATGCATTTGTTCTGCACACCAAAAGATTTTGTCATGACTTTAGTTGGAAAACAGCAACATTTGGCCTTTCTTACACATCACAATGTGGTGTGTAAAAACACCATATTGAGAGCTTCACCACATATATATATATATATGTATGTATGTACTGTTTTTTTGTTTTTAATTGGGTGATTATTGGCTTAAGATACCATCTTCTACAAAGAATTAGCAGAATATTAGTGGTAAAATTATTTTGAGGAGTTTTCACATTAAGCAGAAAGTATGTGTTTATCAGTCTCTGAGGCTGGATAATACATTGATGCTAATTTGTTTGCTTTATTCTTTTTAATTTCCAGGGTTTTATTGTAAAACTCATGTTTGACCAACTCTGAACATAATGCACGTCAGCAAAGTGAAATGAGAATTGCAACAAAATCGTTTCACTATACTGAACTTATTATGCTTATAAAAAATACTGTAGAGGTTTACTAAAGTGCAATTAAATAATTTTCTACATGGTTAAAATTTTGACCTTTTTATATAAAAATGTTGACCAATTTGACAACTCATCTTCAGAAAATAAAATATCCAAGAATGTCCAGTTCGATAACTTTAATTGTTACATGTTTTTATTTATTCATATAGGATTACACACAAAAAATAAATGTAATTTTTTTGGATTTACTTCATTTTTTTATTTTAATTTGTCCAACAAGAGAATAAACAAATATGTAACAACCTTGACGTGACACTAAATTAATGTTCAATGTTAATTTTTAAAACATAGAAATAGCCACATCTTATGTCTTGACATTAGATGGACAATCCAGTCACAGCATAAGCAAAAGTTCACACATAACTGATTCTCTACCTTTTTTTTCTTTCTTTCTTTCTTTCTTTCTTTCTTTTTTTGTGATTCTCCTTTGAAAAACTTGCTGTGTTTGGCAGCACCAATAAATGTTTCAAAAAATTCTATCTTCATTCTGTCATTTTATGAAAAGATGCTTTCCTCGTGTAAAAAGAAAAAATAATAATTTTAAAAAAAGAGTTTCAAAAACTAACCAAAACAAAAGTGTTCTTACACTCACCGAAGAGCTTTTCAGACAGCCAGCGCTTGAAGGATTAGCTTTCTCCACATCCTCCAGTTTATGTGTCAAACTCCAGCAGAGGAGAACTTCCCCGCCTTCACTCGTATCTGCCTGCCGGGTGACAGTTTCGGCCTCGACACGCTTTCTGTTGGAGCCTAAATGTGACGAGGGTCGGCAGGAGAGGTTATCAAGAAGGCCTCGACGTAAATAGCTGCCAGGAGAGAGCTCTGACACGGAGAGGTGGAGGGTGGAGAAGGTGCTGTGAACGTCTAACAGGAGAGTCCCAAACAAGCAGATGTCAATGAGCATTTAAAGAAACATTACCACAAGGATGTTATAGTTCCCTGAAGTTTTTAACATTCAATCCATGGACACAAAAAAGGGCTAATCATACAACACATGATGTGAACTTAAAGCTTTGGAAAATATGGAAGTCGCAATAACAGATGGTTCTCTTTACTACTGAAACATTAATGAGACAACTTACAGTAGATTAAATCAGCTTAGAGACACTTATTATGTAATAGTTGACTTTATATCAGATGATTTATTTAGGTTATATGTATTGTATGTTCACAATTCCTCAGTTTCTCACATTTTAGAACCACTATATATAATCATTATTTTATTAACACACTTTAACAGGGTTGTGATGTGACTTGTTTGCATCACAAATAAATTTGTGTTCATAATTTACAGTGTGTCATAATTAAATTAAATTAAATTAAATTAAATTTCAGAAAGGGAAGTTTGATAGAATTTACATTAGTCTTTTTACTTTTGCTACATCCCATTTATATTTAGCTTTTTTCTCAGTTGCATAAGAGTGTTTGACTTCAAATCTATAAGATACATAATTCATACAATACATTTGACATCAAAAGTTAGAAAAAATAAAGTCCATATTTCTGTATTAACAAGTTTCTACTGGTGTGAAGTCAGATTTGCATCTGCAGAGCCGAGTTTCTTTAGGCGTGAGCAGACAACAAAGGACTGAACACATCAATCTGTGTATTTATGCAGTGAGTTTCACTTGGTGGATCGAGTTACTGAGACAAATAAACTTTTCTTATCTACTGAAAATGACTGTATTTTCACATACCCATAGAGTAAGCCGCCCCCAAACAACCCTGCTTGAGTCATAGTGTATTTTTAGCACAGGAGAGTTTTGTGTGTTGTAGAAACTGAGCTACTTCAGCTCAGTAAATTACACTAGCAGCTGACCTGCGGTCGGCTTCCAGCATCCAGCCAGCTTTCCAGAGACTTTCTCTCCAGGCGTCCTCCCTGTCTGCTCTCCCTCAGGACATGCTGACAAACTCATATAGAGAAATAATAGTCCTTCGCTTCGTGACTCAGATCCTTCTTGTCCACTTCCAACAGTTCCAAGAGGCACATAATGGATGGGACTGAAATGGAAACAGAAAGCTGACTTGAAAAGTTGCAGAAATTTTTTGGGAGTCGCTGTAGTTTTGGAGGATCATAAGCGGAAAGCGAAGACCTAAAAAAAAAACCCCAAAAAGAGCGCTTTTATTCCCACCTTTGTTTTTCACTTCCTTCTATCACGTCTATTGTCCCCTCTCTAAGAGAAGAGATAAAACAAGCACAGACCAGCAGAGTGTGAGGCTGGTTTCTACAGCAACTAGTCTCTGAAGACAATGCTGCATATTGGCACCTTGAATGAAACAAAAGCACAAGCGGTGATCAACAGATTGCAACAAATATCTCACTAGTTTTAAAAGACATGTTGACTGAATAGGTATTTATCCAAGGACATTGGGATACAGCTCGTATCTTATGCGTTTTGTTTATGCAGATTTTAATTTATGGGTAGAGATATGATATGTTAAACATCTGGATGGTGCCTACCATTTTTTAAAATATTAAATTAGCTGAATTCTATTTGACAATTAAAATGTTATCTGTTCATTCTGGTATCTTAAAGAAAAAACAGAAAGTAAAATTTTCTGATGATTAAGCCATAAAATGTGACCAAATTGAGGCTAAACATTTTTTCCTGATGGCAGAGCTGAGATGGCAACCTCTGGGTTTGGAAGCCTAACTTGCTAGCAAGTTTGATTTTAGCATTAGCACCGTTGCTAAGCTAGCAACTGCTGGATAAAAACCTAAATTCTTGCTAAAAAAACAAAAACATTTTCAAACATAAGGTCTTTGACATGTCTTCACTTGTTCTAAACATTTATTGATTCACAGCATAAGTTAAGTAATAGAAATAAATCCAAATTACTGTTCTCTACAGGACTTATAGTTGAGCGAGCTAACATCGAGCTAATTTCTAACCAAAATCTTTTGAAACAATTTGTTCCCAAAATAAAATTATTCATGTTGGACATTACGTTTCATTTATAAACTATTATGCTTAGCTAAAAATTTTGACTTAGTTTATTGGTTAATATTTAATAACCTTAAAATTTTAGTTTTAAAGTATTCTTTCCAACAATGTGTTTTCAACAGAAGCAGAGTAGTGTTTGAAGAGCTATTTTTCTTTTTTCATCTAATTTCAAACTGGTCCAAAGATTGCATACTTGCTCATTTAAGTCTTCTGAAGCCTTTCTTTTATGCAAAAACAAAAAACAAACAAAAAGAAAAAAACAATAAAACAAAATTGGGACTTAAAAACTGAGTTCTTGAATACAGATTTACTATTTAGCTTTTTTATTATTATTATTTTCCTTAAAACTAAAATATTTTGCCCTTTTTATAATCTAACAATTAACATTCAAAGTATTTGATGAACTGAGAATGCAGAAAAGCAACACAGGTGTAATATAAGTCAAAAGTGTTTTAGAGAATTACTTTAAAACCTGCTTGTGATCAAATGTGACTGGACTTCATAGAAGCAAAGGTGCACTATAAAACAGGATTTTAGAGGGTATCGAATATTACCTGTTAAAATGATGAACATCGCAATCCTTCGGAGGAAATTGTGCAGATTTAAAAGTTTGTTTGTAAATCTGGGTTTTATTTCAACCTCGAAACTATTAAAAAAATCTTTACCAATGAACTGAATATGTTCTCTTAGTCAACTGTCGGCCATTTTCACAGTTACAAGCAGAGGACAGACAGTAAGGCGGCTTTAATTCGCTGTTACCAAAAGAGCAAACATTGTAAGAGTTGAAAAGCTCTTAGGACGCTTATGGCTGGGAAAGGCTGCAGTACTCAAACAAGAAATCTTGTTTCTGTCCAACCCAACTGGTTCAGTGAGAGAGCTAATGCAAAAGGCAAACTTGCTATAACAATAAGCTTCTTACTGCCAAGCAGCTGTTAACACAGTTTAGCAGTTGTTTGTAACAGAAAAGTTGCATCACAGTTTTTAGGGTACATTTCAAATGTTTTTTTGCTCAGTAGGCTCAGCTTTATTCTGGACGTTTGTGAAAGTCCAGAATAAACATTCTGGACTTTTGGCACAACTGTTTTAGCGGCGTGAGTAAATGTGAAATACTGAATGGAATTTAACTAATTTATTCAAAATAATAATAATAAAACAAATTGCTACACAAATTTAGTGGTTGCATTCTAACAGTTGACAGTTAGATTTCCGGTGTATCATGCTGCATCATGCAAATTATAGTTTATTTATTAATTTTAGAAACTTGGGCTAGTTTTTTTTTTTTTTTTTTTTTTTTTGCCATAAAATATGGTTTCTAACAACAACAACAACAACAACAAAACCTTCACATGTGCAACCATTCTGAGCCCTGCCTGTGACTGGAAGCTGCAGCTCCAACTCACCCCTGGTGCAGGCAGTGCGCACAGCGGCTCCCCGGGTCAAGGTCACCGACACCCGTGGGTGTACAAGCCTGGACGGAGCTGGTGTCGGCGCACCGGACGGAGCACGGCGGAACTTCCCGACCCGGAGGCGAGGAGGATGCGGCGAGAGCGAAGCACAGAGCGGGGATCAGTGCGCGGAGGAGGGCGGCGGCCATGTCTGCTCAGGACAGAGGGCCGCATGGAGACCGAACCGCCGGAGTGTCTGGGATCAAATGGCGAGGAGAATGGAGGCCAACGGGAGGGGAGGACGGAACCAAGCGGAGGGCACTGTATGCAAATAATGAAGGTGTGACGATGAGGAGGAAGAGATGAGAGGAGGGTCGTCTAACACCACAGGGGTCAAGCAGTAATATATTCATATACGAAGAGTGATAACTCCACTGAGACACCACGCATGATTGAAAATCATGGTTTATTAAGAAGAAATGGACATTTCTGACATGATCGTTGTGCCAAGAGATGATAATCATTTTAACATACTGCTGTCCACATGAACTGATCTTTCCTCCAATCACGTGGAAAGCGGCGGCATTTACAAATGTCGGACGAACCATTTCTTCAAATTCGAGGTCTGATTTATACCAGTGTGAAACCTCATAGACGTGGTATAATCAAAGTCTTCAGAAGTTTTTGAAGCAGAATCGAGAACACGAGTGTTTGCTGTGAGGATTATGTGCACAACTTAGGCAGAAGATGTTTGTTTGTTTGTTTGTTTGTTTGTTTTTTTGTGGAATTGTCGACAAGCTGAAATAAAATAGCGCGCACAATAAAAAGCTCGTTCAGACACACGCTCGGTTCTGCTGGGCAGTTCTGGAGCTTCTGTGTGATTTTAGAAATTGCGTCACCATCTTTTGCTATCTGTGTACCAATCAGTATGTGATGCAACCAAGGCAGGAAAATATCAAATGTGACAGGAGTCAATTTCCTCTCCGTTGAAAAGAAAATAATAATAATAAAATTAAAAAAAAGCCAGAAAGAGAATTTTGAGTCACATTACGATTTAAAAAGGAAGCACCATGAGTTCTGGAGAAAACAGCGAAAAATATGCTAAGCATTTAATTTTCTTTACTGCTATTTATTATTATTATTATTATTATTATTATTATTATTATTATTATTATTATTATTATTATTATTATTATTATTATTATTATTATTATCAACTCTTGTATTTTCTCAATTCGACGGATTTAAATATTGCTCATCTTTCGGTCTTCCTCTTTTCCCATTCGCTTAATTTAAAAATGCTCCTGATTTAATCAGAATTCTAAAAAATAAAACAAAACAAAAAAACACAAAAAAATCTAGTAGTTCAATTGTATTAGCTAATTTATAGGAAAGCTTGAGTGTCGTTTTATTTTTTTTTAATCTTTGTTCGCTTCAAGTAAAAGTGGAAAACGCGCTTGGAAGCGTCTGAGTCCAACTTGCCCTGTGCGCCCTTTGCTCAATCAGAAAAAGAAAACAACAAAAACAAAAAAACAAAAGCAGCAGGAGTAACTCAGCCGGTCCACCTTAAAAAGCTATTGCGGCTTTTCGACATCCCCTTTAAGAGAATTAGGCTCTGAACTACACGAACAGCAGGGGGCGCTAGAAGACCGCGACATCCCTGAAGCAGAAGCTCTTCTGAGGTGGAGAGAGGCACAGCGAGGGAATCAAACACATTTTCTCTCTGTTCGCTTCTATACTGGAGCATGTTTCTTTCTTTTTTATTTATTTATTTCGTTCCGTTCCGTTTTTCGCGAGTTATTGTAGGTTCTCATGCTGTAGAAACGCCGAATAGGACTTGTCGTGATCAAAACTGAACCTGAAAACTGAGTGGGGAGCTTTTTATTCAAAAAAAAAAAATAAATAAAAAAAAAAGATATTTTCACGTGTGGTCGTTCATGTGATTTGTTAAGCCAGCAAATTGGGGGGAAAAAATATTACGTTTCGACTCAATCGAGCCAAACCGGAAGGCATTCAAACATCAACTGGTTTATTTTTCTTAAACCAAAACGAAAATGCTGCGGAGTCAGTCCAGGGTCCCTCGGTGTTTCCCGGATTTCACGTTAAGAAGAATTTTCCAACCCACCCGTCAACGTCAATGAACGCTGCGTACTCCCAAAACGACCCTCCCCCTTCTCCCCCCCTCCCCTAAAAAGCCCCATTTCAGGCCCGCGAGACCCGAGCGACTAAATTCATTCGTTAAACGCGTGCGCTGCTTTCGGCGCGCGCGCGCGAGCGAGCGGCGACGTAATTAGCGCACAATCAAATCAACGAAATCTCCAGAAAGCAGCTGCCGGCCGGGCGTGGAGAAACGGAGGGGCGCCGAGATCGT